TGAATTTTTATTCACACCACAAAATAGAAGATTTACTGTTATGCAATACTGTAATAATTGTATAAATATCATCACCATATTTGTGAATGTATATTAGACCCACCAGCTGACGTGTATTAGATGTGTGAGGTCGTTTGTTTACTCTTGAAAATCGGCAAAAATTGAACATTTCCGCTACTTTGAGCTCAGTTTCAAGCCATTTCCAGTGCTAAAACCAATCAAAATCATCTCTATTTCTGTAATATGTCTTCCATTCTATCAAATGAGACCAAGAAATCGCAAATACAACTATAAAAACATACGAAAAAACACTGCAAAGTTGCTGTTTTAATCGAAAAATCATGATTTCATTTTTTTTCTCTCATTATACACAGTGTGCTGCAGGATCTGTTTTATGTGGTGCACACATACCACATAGATGCATTCTCTCATATCTAGGCCCAAATGTACCACTCACAGTTTATCAGAGTGAGCTGAGCTCATGGCGTAGATCTACGGTTTGGACACTCACTGTAAAGCCGTAGATCTACGGGACGGACCTTGAAAGGGTTAAACAACCATGGCGACATCACACATCCTTGTCTAAGGCCTACTTTTACTGGGAAATAATTTCCCTCTTTCCTATGTACTCTAACTTGAGCCTCACTATCCTCGTAAAAAATCTTCACTGCTTTCAGTAACCTACCTCCTACACCATACACCTGCAACATCTGCCACATTGCCCCCCTATCCACCCTGTCATATGCCTTTTCCAAATCCATAAATGCCACAAAGACCTCTTTAGCCTTATCTAAATACTGTTCACTTATATGTTTCACTGTAAACACCTGGTCCACACACCCCCTACCTTTCCTAAAGCCTCCTTGTTTATCTGCTACCTATTCTCATCTTACTTTTAATTCTTTCAATAATAACTCTACCATACACTTTACCAGGTATACTCAACAGACTTATCCCCCTATAATTTTTGCACTCTCTTTTGTCCCCTTTGCCTTTATACAAAGGAACTATGCATGCTCTCTGCCAATCCCTAGGTACCTTACCCTCTTCCATACATTTATTAAATAATTGCACCAACCACTCCAAAACTATATCCCCACCTGCTTTTAACATTTCTATCTTTAATCCCATCAATCCAGGCTGCCTTACCCCCTTTCATTTTACCTACTGCCTCACGAACTTCCCCCACACTCACAACTGGCTCTTCCTCACTCCTACAAGATGTTATTACTCCTTGCCCTATACACGAAATCACAGCTTCCCTATCTTCATCAACATTTAACAATTCCTCAAAATATTCCCTCCATCTTCCCAATACCTCTAACTCTCCCTTTAATAACTCTCCTCTCCTATTTTTAACTGACAAATCCATTTGTTCTCTAGGCTTCCTTAACTTGTTAATCTCACTCCAAAACTTTTTCTTATTTTCAAACAAAATTTGTTGATAACATCTCACCCACTCTCTCATTTGCTCTCTTTTTTACATTGCTTCACCACTCTCTTAACCTCTCTCTTTTTCTCCATATACTCTTCCCTCCTTGCATCACTTCTACTTTGTAAAAACTTCTCATATGCTAACTTTTTCTCCCTTACTACTCTCTTTACATCATCATTCCACCAATCGCTCCTCTTCCCTCCCGCACCCACTTTCCTGTAACCACAAACTTCTGCTGAACACTCTAACACTACATTTTTAAACCTACCCCATACCTCTCTTCGACCCCATTGCCTATGCTCTCATTAGCCCATCTATCCTCCAATAGCTGTTTATATCTTCCCTAACTGCCTCCTCTTTTAGTTTATAAACCTTCACCTCTCTCTTCCCTGATGCTTCTATTCTCCTTGTATCCCATCTACCTTTTTCTCTCAGTGTAGCTACAACTAGAAGTGATCTGATATATCTGTGGCCCCTCTATAAACATGTACACTCCTGAAGTCTACTCAACAGTCTTTTATCTCCAATACATAATCCAACAAACTACTGTCATTTTGCCCTACATCATATCTTGTATACTTATTTATCCTCTTTTCTTAAAATATTATTACCTATAATAAACCCCTTTCTATAAAAAGTTCAATCAAGGGCCCCCTTTATCTTTTTTACACCCCTGGCCCCCCCCAAACTTACCTACCACACCCTCTCTAAAAGTTTCCCCTTTACTTTAGCATTCGGGTCCCCACCAAAATTACTCTTTTCACTTGGTTCAAAGGCTCTTACATTAACTTAACATCTCCCAAAATCTCTCCCCTTCCTTGCATTCCTCTTTTCCCCCCAGTGAAAACACCTTTTTAACCCACTTTGCATCCAACCTTTACTTTAACCCACAAATTCTTGTTTACACATTCAATTCTCTTTTCCCTTCCATAATGATCATTCAACTTACGCTCCCCCCTTCCTTTTGCTCTAACCCCTCAGATACTCCAGATTTAACCCCATTTTTTTTCCCCCCCCCCGAAATCCCTACCCCCTTTCAGCTTTTTTTCGTTGGGGGCCGGGACATCCAATTTTTTCATTATAACACCCCAATCATCGTTTTTTTGTCATCTGCACTACATCCAGCACTTTTCAAGCATCCCAGTTTTAAAAATTCAAATACGTATTGGGAATAAAAAAAAATGTTTTTTTTTCGTAAAAATATTGGCTCAGTGATCGTCACTGAACCGTTTTTAGTCATTCACCCAAAAGGCCCAAAAGTCCGACACACCATTTCACCCATGTGCCATTGTTTATCAGCCAGTGAGGACGATCCCAGCTTTCACATAATACAGTGGACCCTCGCCAACAAAACCCTTTGACTGTCGTAGCCCCTTTTCTGAAACTGTCATTCTATGCGAAAATATTCGAAAAAAATATTATTTTTTTTCTTTTGAAAATGTTAAATTATTTTTCTGGTGTTTTAGTCCAAAAAAAATAAATTTGCCATCAGTACTTACCCAGATATAGAGCGGAATTTGCAGAAAATAGCCGCTATGGGAACACGGCGACTGCCGTCACCAGGGAAACTTTAGTTTACTTGTATTTTAAGGTTTTTTTTTTTTTTTTTACTATTTTTTTTTTTCACAAAACTTAGTGGCCCATGAGACCAAAAATAAGGTGCAATGTACATATAACACCGTTTTATACAACACAATAAGCACACAAACATAATTAACAAATTTGTTTTTAAAAATTGTTTACAAAAACAAACAATACAAAAAAAAAGTTCATACTATTTTTTTTAAAATGTATATACCAATTTTAAAAGCACGGGCATTTCTAGAATTTTTGCAGGTTGTGGAAAATCTTTGAAAATGGGTCATACACAAGGTGGTTTTACACTTCACCATAAAACCCTGTTGTGATTTTTGTGGACTTTTTTTTTTTTTGTGCAAAGACAAAGCACCTCGTTAGCATTTTTTTCAATTAGCAGGCAGTGTGTTTTTATTATCCAAGGGAAATGGCGGGCATCATTGTTTTTTTCCTTCCTCATTCCTGCTTTCCTTTCCTTTATTCCTTTATTTTCCCTTTTCCCTTTTTCTTTTCCTTTATTTCCTTTCTTTATTCCTTCCCTTCACCTTTCCTTCTTCCTTTCCTGCATTCCTTTCCTTCAAGGAAAATTTCCAGCATTCCTTTCTACCTCTCTTCCCCCATTCCTTCAACTGTCCTTCCCCTTTATTTTCCTGCCTTCCCCTTTTTGCTTCTGGTTTCTATAAAAATATATTTTCACATATAAGTCACTAGATACTTTTTATATAACCTATTATTTCCATTCAGCAAGCTGTCTTGTGGGGAGTGTGTGGTTATAATTTTTTTCAGTCAGGAGTCGCAGAGTCAAAAAGACTATTATCTCTTATCCTCACCCTCCCCCCTGTCAAAAAAAAGGGGTCGGATGCTGCTTCCCCCCCATTTTTATCAATTATCTTTCTCCCTCATTCTATTCTTTCAATCTGTCTACTCTGTTCAAGGTACCATAAATACAAGTATAGTGTAAATTACCCCAGGGAAAAACCCAAAAAATCCAACAAATGCTATACTGTCTTGAAAAGTGGTAAAGTGATATGCAGTCTTGGGCTCTCTCTGAAAGAGAGTAGAAGACAGACAGGGAGTTGCAACAAACACAGACAGAAATGTTTTTGTCCACAAAAACATAGGGGGGGGAATATTTTATCTAAATCTTTTCTATC